TGTTCCGCTAACTGGGACGGCGCCATTCCTGGTGATATCAGAATCGGGTGTGAGTTGGACAATGTGGGAACTGTCGAACGGACGGACGGATGCAGTAGAGGTGCGAGAGGAACCGGGACAGAAGAGGTCGTGGGATTCGGTCTTGATGCCGTAGAAGAGGTTGAAAACTGAAATTCACCTGCAGGTATGGCGGCTGACGCCGAAAGGCAGGCTGCCTGGGTACTGGCCTGACCGGGAACGGACGGATGGGATACGTGAGATTTCGGTCGCAGTGGCCTTTCTTGTAGCCCCTGTAATGCGTGACTAGCAATAGGCATTGTATGCGACGTGGGTGTGGAGAACGCTGGGATAACAGTCTAGAAAACGGGGTAAGTGGCCAAAGAGAAGACAGTGGGTTAGCTAAACCTAAGGGATATGCCAGACTGGGCAAAAGCACGTGTGCTGACCGAACAAAAGCCGTCACAGGTGGGAAGTTTCGAAAACACAGAGGTGGCGCTGGGTTAGCAAAAACGGTTGAGCCAAAAGACAGTCCACCTAACACGGGTTGATCATAAACTTTACCATAGTTGCCACGGTATTGTTATGCCATATATACTGTACAAACATCACCAGTAGATAGTCATGGTAAGGGGCAAGTGAATGGACGAATAAATGAATGAGCAAACTGTTGGTTAATGGACAAGCCGACGCAATGCCTCGGAAAGAATCCCACAACAAACAACCAGTGTATCTTCTCTATCATTCATGAACCTATTTGTCGACATTGGATCACATGACATGGTGTACCATATACGGTGCACAACAAACGTTGCAGTGCAAAGGTGTATTGCAGCCACACAACCCGACGGCTGAGATATTGCCAGGTCTACACAAGGACGTTCAAGTCCGCAGTTCATTCGTACCGATTCTGTTGCTAGCCACATACGACGCTAGATAGGAAGTGATTGCAACCTCGTCACTGAGATTGGTTACGCGCCATGTCTTGGAGACTCCATAGGACACGGTATATAACCGATCCCTGCGGTGGCCATGTTGTGACTTCACAACTCGACTACCCAGCTAAAGATGGTCAGTCGGCAATATGTCCCAATACTGATAGCTCGCGTGATTTTCAGCAGTTGACCGAATGTAGGTTGCAAATCGCAAACTTCGGGGAACAGACAATATGTCATCGGATTAACAGTCAAAAAGTGTCTTCCCTTACGTTTTAAGCTTGTGTTCTTGGTCAGTACGTCTGACGGCATCTTGTTTCCACCCGATGCTCAGATGTGTTTATCACAATGGGAGGCGTCGCAACTTGATTTCGACTGCTTCTCCCACGGTCACAAGGCTTTTCGCGCCCGTTTCGCTCCGCCCTTTACTTGGATGCGGTCTTATGGCAGCCGGCATCAATATCCACTCTTCATCCATTGTTGTGCACAGTGGTGATACATGGTAAATGACAACAATAATAATACGACCGTTCAGCCATAACTGCCATACTTTTCCAGTGTCCAGCTACAATATCATCCACAAGGGGTTGAGACACTAGGAAGCTGCCCAAACCTAGCCAGGAACAGTCAAGATGCTGCGGGTTGGGTTCGGATCACGGACTTACCACCCAGTAAGTTCGCGCCTAAACCAACGAGCTATCACCAGCCCGTGAAATGCGGTGCTTGTGAGTGTCAGCTGCCCTAAATCTACAAATGTGATTAAATCTGTTTTACAGCAGCCAGTCAGCTGAGCTAGGGAGAGCGCAGTAATTGAGGCACGAAATTGCTGACCGGTATGCCTGCGGTTCGGGTGCAACCTCTGCATCTGGACTGCCCATATCTAGGCTTGAGCAGTCTGGTGGTATCTCAGCCCTCGTGCTTCCCTTGGATGGGATGACAGCTAAGCACCGAAAGGGTGTTACGACTGAATAATTGTTTTTGTAGGCGGAATCGGTGCCCAGTTGACATAAAAGTTGCACTGACATCAACTACGTGGCCGTGTCCCGAAGAAATAGACGGAGATGGAGATAAAATTAGCATGGGTCAGGAGAATTAGTTTTGGAGAATAACTATTGGTTAGAGAATGACACAAACCGTGTCCCGTGACCGTATCGTTAAGCATGCATTCAACACTGTAGGGAATTCCACCCCAGGGACCGGAGCGACTGTGAATCAAAGGATGAACAAAAAGCCTAGGTAATAAAATGCTGGAACTCCGCCCAAGTACCTTCCCTGTGATCGAGAGCAAAATTAGCATGTGTACCAAAAACCGACTATCAACACCTGCTAATTATTAGGATTCCTGCCTTTTCCTGAATAGCTCACTTCCTTGGAAGTAATTAGGCTGAATCGAAGCAACTATCTCAAAAGGTACGTCAGAAAACGGATGAGGATCACTGACCATTGGACAACTAAGCAACCTGCTGTTCAGAGTGATAACAAGGTTGCCCCTGTCTGGATACATAAAGCTTAAAATAACTGATCCTCGGTCCGTCTTTTCGGGTCTTTTTTACAAAGGGAGCAGCGGTATCATCATCATCATCGACAGCATGACATCAGTGTTCAACACTGATGCTTCACTGCAGCGGTAACTCCAATGCAGTCTAGAATATCGGCCAAAAGACAGCCGACCACATAAAATACAGGATGAACGCCACCAACAATTAAAATTGGACCTGCAATTTTCCGCGCACCAAATATATGACTGAGTTAGTGTACAGCAAGTTTCTCCAATGGAACTGAAGGATGAAGAGCCTGTGTCAACGTAATTGTCACTGTCTCTTAAGTGCTCTCGAGGAATGACATACACATCCCAGCCGTCTCCGTGAACTATCCTGGTTTCAGTTAAATTGGTAAATACCCCAGAAAAATATATTAAAGTTGACTGCACCGAAAACACTTATTGCCTTCTGAATTTACCCTGTTTGTCAGGAGTGTATGAGGCCACATTACAGAAGTGAGTACGCTGCAGAAAAAAGTGAGTTACACTGTATTAAGGGGACACACTCAGTCAAACGCATAAAGAGGATGTAACATAGCTATTACAAGATGATGCGAACTCCAAGAGGACGTTTGATATGAGGCGATAATGGAGGAATGAGGGTGGAATGGACTGGGCGTGCAAGTAAGAACCCACAAAACCAGTGACAAGAAACACACGCACACAGCAAAGGGTAAGGAAAATACGGTGCAGGAAATGAACACACATACATTACTGGCCTGCTTCATTTCAGTTGGCGCATCTAGGCTAGAGATTCAGCCTCTGAATGGAAGAAGCGAAAACAATCAGAGAGAGAAGTGGTAGAGTTGATCCCCACAACATGAGTTCACCAAATGTAAACAACAAAGGTTGGCAAAATACACTTGTGGGAAGACGTAGAGGCTCAAAGTGCATGACAGAAACATGTGGGAATGGAACGACACCAAAAACCAGCTAAGTGGAAAGAATAAATTATTCTGTTTAGTAAAACAACGGACTAAGATACCTGGGCTAACGTAGCAATTGGTATTGGATAGAACTGTATGCTTCCAGGCGCGCCTCCACATCATGAGCGGGGTGAATGTCTCACTGAAGATATTTATAAATAAATCACTCGTGTTGGATAAGCATCACTATTCAGTAAGAGGTATCTTTGCCTTATTCTCTGCGGTCACAGGGTGGGAAAAAACCCTGCGGCCGAGTAGATTAGACTATCAAGTTATCGGCTCCGTGCATGGTCTTCCAAGGGACCCACCTAACTGCTGCTTCGCGATTCAGGCTTTTGAGCCAAATAAAAGGGACGGAGTTCGACATTATAGCTCTCAATGTCCGTACTCTGTATGGAATTAGACAATAGGCCTATCTTGGTGGAACTTTGTTTTCACCTTCCGTCGATGTACCTTGTGCTTCGAAAAAAAAACAGAACATTTCACTCATGTATCTCAAGCCGCATAGAGCGAGATCAGATGCTTCACATTCCTCTCTTCTAGTATTTGGTAATCTTGCCGCAATAGCTCGTAGCAGTTATGATGTGAGAGTTGCGCTGAGCCTCAAGACTGTAAGCAATTAATAAAACTGGAATCTAGAAGTTGTTAGTGGTGTCAGGACACGTCTGAACAGACTGCAATTCCGAAGCTGAAAAACATGCAACAGCACCAATGTCTAAACTGTTGCTACGCTCCCGTATAACCATAAACTTTTGAAACCCTTACTGTGAAAATAATAAATGTGGATGCGGAAGGGATCTAGTGCTAGCCAACCACAATCATTCTCTATACCCCCAGACACTCACTCCGGCAATCTGGATGGAGAGCGTTGGTATTTGATAAGGTAGCAGTTAAGCTTGACAAGTGACTTGTAAACATTCCATCGCCATGCGAGGGTTGAGCGATGCCAGTGAGCGATTGAGTTGGATAGAAACCTGAAACAACGACGCTGTTGATATAGACTAGTAGCCATATATTGCAGCGTCTACAACTATGGACAGAAAGGGTCACGTGGACCCCATCCTGAAAACAAATTCGCACTGAAACCACCCAGAGTTGTCGTAATCACTTTACCAGGTAGGCAGTTGATCGCTTCTTTCTGTGCGCAACTTTGAGCAACTCTGCATGCGCAACAAGTGACCTAAGCATCGCAGTTTTTGATGCCAGACGGCAGTGAAGCATCGGTGTCGAACACTGATGTCATGCTGTCGATGATGATGATGCATTCCTCGATTGAGGTACCCGTTGCACAACCGGACACTGGTTTTCTAGCTGTCCCGTTGCGGATTTACGACACCAGCACGCACGAGCTATAGTTCTGAGGCAACGACGCAAAGACCTGAAAGCGCCACAGTTCGGCTGCTCAAAAAAGCAACATCTCACAGCCGCACATGAGGATAGCCTATACTATGGCTTGACAAACACGTCCCTTGAAATGGGATACGCCCATTTTCCGCCATTAGTCTCGAATTAGCAAACGCTACGTAAGCATGAGGAATTCGTTTTTTACTTATCGTTCAGCTGTAGCACCCTTCCGAAGCCTAGGTGCCATACCACTAGAAGATTGCACGAGGGCTAGGATACTGCCAGGTTGCCCAAACCTAGACAGGAGAAGTCGAGAGGCAGAGGTCGGGTTCGAACCGCGATCATCATTGTCAGCTGTAATAACCGCTTACTCGTTGTGCGGTGGTTGTAGCTGCCGCAGTTTCGTTCACTGATGGTTTGGGGGGATGGGTAGGTAGCTGCGCATTGCAGGCGGGAGCTGATAAATTGGTGCATAAATCCAGCACTGTCAGTGGGCTGTCAAGCGAGGGGTTGGAAAAGGAGCCATGCATTGAAGACAATAGCTTGGATGCATGAGCGCCATTGAGGGCGCGACTGGGCCATATCTGACAATGTCTCTAGCCATTGATGTGACCCGTCTCGGGGTTCCCATCCAGGAAGACGGCAGTGACCAGCGCAGCTGAGTTTGCTGGTAATGGCTTTCATACTTCGCTGCCAAGTCATTGTTTGACCGCCTCTGGCTCTCTTCCACCCTTCACGTGGTTGTGCAAAAAGAGCCCTTCGAGGAAGAATCGGTCGACTGGCATACGCAACACGTGGCCAAGCCAGCGCAACCTATGTAGTGTGATCAGTTCATCTATCGAGGGTGAGTTATTTCTCCCGAATACCATTCGACGTACTTCAAAATTGCTGATCCGGTGTCCCACCAGATTCGGGCAATGCTCCGAAGACATCGGCGATCAAACACTGAAAGTCTTTTGACGTCCTCGGCGCGCAGCGGCCAGGTTTCTGATCCATATAGTAATATGGAGCGCACCGCAGCATTGTAAACTCGACCCTTGACAGAGAAGCTGATGTCACGTCTACGCCACAGGTTCGCAAAAGTTGTTCTGGCCATCCCAATCCGGATGGAAATCTCATCTTTCGTGAGACCACCGGGACTGATACGGCTGCCCAGGTAAACAAATTTGTCTACCATCTCAATCGGTTTATCCACAAGCATGAGGCTAGGATTCGATCCCACCCAGTCTTGCAGTAGCACTACACTATGGAGGTGTGAAGCGCATGCCGAACCGCGAGGCAGAATTATTTAGATTATTTAATATTGTTTGCATTATCACGGGATCAGATCCCAGAAGAGCTATGTCGTCTGCGTACTCGATATCTGTGAGTGGAGGCCCAGGGAGCACTTCGACCTCACAGGCATTAGAGACCGGCAGTGCGTCTTCCATGATCGTATCAATGACGAAGTTGAAGAGGAAAAGTGAAAGAGGACAGCATTGTCGGACACCACTGGATGTGGTGAACTCAGGAGAGCTTCCTGTAGACCTTTACATGGCCGCGGGAATTGGTGTATAGCACCCTAATGAGGGTCAAGAATTTATGGGGGACACTCACACATTCACCGCCAGGTTCTGGTGTAATCCAAGAATCTAATTGTGCGCCAATTTTATTGAGGACGGTTGCGTCAGTTTTATTCTTCATGATTTCGCTCAGACAGTTCTCGAAGACCGATCACAAAGATGAATGAANTAGCACCCTAATGAGGGTCAAGAATTTATGGGGGACACTCACACATTCACCGCCAGGTTCTGGTGTAATCCAAGAATCTAATTGTGCGCCAATTTTATTGAGGACGGTTGCGTCAGTTTTATTCTTCATGATTTCGCTCAGACAGTTCTCGAAGACCGATCACAAAGATGAACCTAAATAATCTCCGGGCATTCCTGGCATTCTGAGCTTCTTCCAGTATCCTCAGCTTCCTGTATCCGCTAGGCTTTACATTTGGTGGGAACACCGAACACTGACAACGCTCACGTACAGAATACTGGTTTCCAGGAGTCGTATTCAAACGTTACTGCCTAGCAACTCCAGGCGGCTTCACAACCTCTGCAGTGGGTTAGGCCAAAACAAAATAATTATTAATAATAACAATAACAATAATAATAATTCAGCTGAAAGAGAGCTCAGCCGTTAGAGCGCGAATTTGTAGACCGGAAGGTTCGTGGTTCGAATACGACGTCTGCATCTCCACTTTCACTGTCTAGGCTTGGGCAACCTGGCAGTATCCCAGCCTTCGTGCTTCCTTCTGAGGGCATGGAAGTTAGGCACGGTCGGGACAGAACGATGGAGGTTCCGGTCATTAAATTCGTGCTCTAACCACTGAGCCGTCTCGCCTCACCGCCTTCAAGACGCTCGTTTATCAAACACCATAAATAGCGTCAATTTTTCACTTGTAGTTTCCACAAACGCACTAATCAAGTGTACCTCTGATTCGGTGAAAAATAACTAACCGCCATCTCATCCAGCACAAGTTCAGATAGTGTTCAGGTAGCGATTAGAATTCACAAGTAGGGAACTTCGGTTCATCATAGGCACGACTTGGTGACTTTATGACGATGGTGACCGTCTTTAAATTTTGCACTGACCACACGTGTTCCTGAGCAGCACTGGGTTAGGGGAGCTGTAGACGCCGTTGTGCCATCCAGAATCCACTTACTGACGGAAAACCACACAGCCAGACTGATGATGAAGTCACAGACATTTAGTGCTGGAGCTCTAATCTTGATCATCGATCTCTCTGGGATACTCACGCCGGTTTAAATTATGCTTCCGATTAATGTCGTTGGAGACTGGGGGATCGGGTTCCTCGTTAAGCCATTGAAAAGCTCTCACATGCACAGGTTGAACAGACCTATCAACCAAGCCTATTCGAAGCCCCAGAAGCTGTATCCTCAGGGGGCTGATCGTTTGGGAAGACAGAAGCATCGCCACTTGTACGACAGGGAACTAGGCATACGAAGTCTCTGAATACGCAGCGAGTAGGCACTGAATTTCAGAAAGGCCCCTGACGCTCCTCGATGCGAGATGTCGCGTTCCTTCGAATCCAGCCAGAATGATTGTTGGACGTCAGCTCAAGCAGTATTCTGGCGGGTGGGAAATTCTGGTGGAATCAGAAAGCTCTAGAAGCGGTGGGAGTTCGTACAACTCGGAAACCGTTCTTTATACGCATAGCGGGAGCCAAAAATAGCTGTTGGTGAGCACAGTACCGGAAATTTAATAAAGCGATTACTCCAACCATAGTGATATAGCTGTTACTTCGGTTGGAACAAGGTTATTACATTCAATAGGGATGTGATGTCTAACCCCATCACGTGAGACGCAAGGAAGCCAGTCGAATTTCGACCAGTTAGGGGTGCACATACCATATATACACATGGCATATATCCATATTGCATCAAGCGCAAAATGTGCGCCACAAGAAGCGACGACGAACCGTGCCGGTTCTCCTTGAGTTCGAAGAAATCTTCTACATGTACTCCGTCAAAAAGGTATTCCCTCAAAGTTTGTCAATATTCCGCTTACCACTAACTCCAGTTCTGCTGGTCACGCTGTTTGTGGTGAACTGTCCAACCAGTCACTCAATCAGTCTGGGAGTGTCAACTCACAAACAGCGCGCCGAAGTGCAGTGATTCCAGCTGCAACAGCTTCGCCCAGCAAGATTAACGAGAATGAGAGGATGAAAGCCAGGTGTTGAAGGCGACAGTCCAATAAGTTCATTGACGTCATGTAGTTCTGTTTGTCTGGCATTATCAGCAGCCAGTATGACGGTTATGCAGTGAAGGCGATAGCTTCCATACAAAACCACAATTCTCAAAGTCACTAGACGCTGGTTTCCTCGTCCCGGGTCTTCAACCAGGACGCAACTGAGTTGAATGATAAGTGCCTTCATTTTTCGTTACCAAGTCATGGACCGACCAGTTGACATAAAAGCGGGCGAAAAGAAAGGAAAACTGTTCTCCGGCATTTTAAGCACACGGCCTACCCAGCGCAACATGCAGTGTGACCACCTGATCTGTCGAAGGAGAGTGAAATTAACCGAAAACAACCAGGCGTACCTCGGCACTATTAACCTGCTTTCACCAGACTCGCGCAACACTTCGAAGGCGCCGGTAGTTAAGCAGGGTCTTCGAGATGGCTCAGTGGTTAAGGCGCTAACTGATTGACAGGAAGGTCCGTGGTTCGAACCCGACCTCCGCCCTTCAATTTCACCCGTCTGGGCTTGAGCAGTAGACTTGGAAGTATCCCAGCCCTCGTGCTTCCTTAAGGTGGCATGATAGTCAGGCACGGAAAGGGTGTCACAGCTGAACAATTTTTAAGGTCTTCGAAGATCTTGCACAGACCGCAGCCACATACCTTTGTAGCACTTGTACACCGCTATTTTTCATGCTCAGTATCATCTTCCTTTTCCATATCAATATCAGTTACATCACTGTACAAAAGTTTGTTGTACTGAAATAAAAAACGCAAATGCCCGCTTCGTGGGTCCAACGTGACTTTGAGACTTTTGCTGAGTGACTGTTGTTGTGACTGCCGGTTGGCTATAATTAGCTGCTACTAACTATAAACGTGAACAAACATTTTAGCTACAAACACTGGACTGATCTATTCAAACCTGTGGATTAATAATGCGATTACCGGAGATCTGGATTACCTGGAAGGTAGAACTTTCTTCTTGGTGTGGTGGTTCAACGGAATACGGAACTACGGTACCTCCTATTTTGAACTGCGAGTCTAAATTTACTTGGAGTTTTCTCCTTGTGACTTTGTATCTGGCTTACATTAGTAAATTGCTCTGTTCACTATAGACTTAATAGGGCCGTTACCCACTACACCTTATCCAATAATTGTCCAACAGCGTCCCGGCAACCACTAAAGTTAGTCAAGGATTCTCCTCACCCCATTTTCGTCGTCTGAGTTTGTCATCGACACCACGATGTCAAAATGACATAACAAGAAAGTTTGGTAGACTTGAGCCATGCGACGACATTGTTAGCTTTCGCCCCAAAGCTACTTCGAAAAGCCCCTAGATCCCGCAGGCAGTTGGCACCTTCAGAATGCAGCCATGCCTCAAGATTTCCCGCTCCCGTGGAATGACGAGACTGAACTTGTTAAAAGTAACTCATCTTGGTAAGTGCCCAAGCCGTGACTACACTGTGACATTTGAAGTTGGTCCACGCATCCCCAAGGTAAGAGTAACGTTTGCCAAACTCGGTCGGCTTGGACCTCAGAAACGGCCGTCAAAGCACTCCTATTCCATGGTTGTGGAACTTACATTCCACGACCTAAAGTCTAACCACGAGGAAGAGAAGTCCGTCGCTCCCCGTCTATCATATCTAACTGGGCCTCGAAGGACTGTATCTCTGAATTTGCAGAAGGCACTTTCCGTGATACTTTGGGTGCTCTCTCACAACAGGATGAAAGCGTAGAGAGTGGTTGTCTGCGACATCAAAGGTCAGATATGTAGGCTTATGGTTGCTGAAGCACATAGATATGGACAGCACAGAACGTCTGTTGTGTGCTGGCCACATTGTTATTAGCCCGATTCTATCAGAATACATCATTTACGATTGTGTAGTTATATTTCATCACTGGATGGCGCTTTAGGTATCACTGATTTGTCGAAAACTCATCGCGTGCATGTAGAAATCGTGTAACTCGTCGAAGTCACACAACAAACAAAAGCCTTTCATGAACTCTTCAAAAGTTACAAAAATTAAAGATCGAAAATTTATGCTGATAGTTATATTCACAGGCAATGCTCAAACGCTAATACCTGAGAGGATTCTTCTGGCCCATTCGGTACGTGTGGACGGGTGGCTTCAGGGAAGTCATTCCGGGGTTCTTGTTTAATATTAGTGACAAGATGATGATTTCTTGAATCCGTGAAGTGAACTCGTGTGATAGATACTCCATCCGACATCGAAAAACGGGCAATTCATGTAAACTAATCCGAGATGTGTGGAGGAATCCGTGTTGCGGAGAGTACCCGGCCTATCCGGCGAGCAACCGAAAGGAAAGCTCGGAGGTGATTGGTCAGCGATTTACGTATTCTGGCACTCACGGATTCACGGATTGATACACAGGATCGAGGCTTTTGCCCAAGTTTCCCGGGTCGGTTTTGTTCTTGTCGGTCTCTGGCTGTCGTTCACCTGAAAGGCACAAGTGAAAAAAGGGTGTAGCACTGGTCTTCATGTTCTCAGCGCGGGGCTGTATGCTTGGCGGCGCGAGAATTCGCACAAATGTCTAGTAGTGCTCTGAACTGGGTTCTAGATGGAGCACGGACAACTTCGTAGGAAGGTTATTCCACACAGCTACTACCCAAAATGAGAAAAGCTTTTGCCTGATGAATGCTTGCGCCCTGAGCTTGAAAATTTTCCTACCAAATCTCCGCCGTGTGTTGGCTGGGTCGTGGAATTCCTTTGGGCCGATTTCTCATGGTGCAAAGAGAAGGACAAGTTTGAGGGGACCCAGATGCCCAAATCCTTTTTGGCATCTATCCCCATGGTTTTTTCTGGCCCTTTCTCACCATGCATAACAAAGACATTCGCTGAGTCTCCTCCAAACGACATATGGACACCACTTTACGTCATTCAGAGGAAGGTGCCAGTCCAACGACCATTGCTTGGCAGCGTCTACATCCATTTGGAGAGCACGGGCATTGGAACTCCAGGATCTCAAGTTGTCCGCAAAAA